GAGGAGGCTGAGCTCACAGAGAGAGGAGGCTGGGCTCAGAGAAGGGAGGCTGAGCTCAGAGAGGGGAGGAGGCTGAGCTCACAGAGAGAGGAGGCTGAGCTCACAGAGAGAGGAGGCTGAGCTCACAGAGAGAGGAGGCTGGGCTCAGAGAAGGGAGGCTGGGCTCAGGGAGGGGAGGCTGAGCTCAGAGAGGAGGAGGCTGGGTTCAGAGAGGGGAGGCTGAGCTCAGAGAGGGGAGGCTGAGCTCACAGCGAGGGATCTACAGCTATGACAGGGCAGTGCTTTCAGCTCACCATGCGCTGTAAGGTCTGGGTCTCTGCCCAGCTAACTGCCCAGCCAGAGGTCCCAGAGGCTCGACAGCGCAGTCATTAGTGCTCCTTTGAGTGAAGTGAGCTGCGGAGCTGCAGTGACACCGTCAAGGTCAGGAGCCCTCGATGGCGTGCCTGCCACTGCAGCTGGGACCGCCAAGTCCTTGGACTGGATTTTCCCCCTGGATTGTCGCTGCTGGGGGAACCAGCTCATGCTCACCCTTCTCCCAATGCCTGGCCCACACACGCCAGGCACTTGGGAGCTGGCATTTCTCCGTGAGCATCACCACTGTAGGCTAAGGGGTGGCAGAAGTGGGCCCATGACCAGGGCTGCCCTGGTCCTGTTGTAATCATCTGTCCTTCTCTCCTTGTATGCCCCAAGATGATGAAGATGAGGAGGCTCCTGGGCCCTCACAGCAGCCTCTTCGGACGCCCCTCCTACGTCCTCCAGAGGAAGAGGCCCACCTGGCCAGGCCCACGCTGCTCTGTTCACCTTCTTCCTCAAGTCAGACCCAGATATTGGGCCCTAAGCCAGAGGTCTTGTCCCATCCCTCACCGCAGGCCCAGGCCTGCAGGACCCCAGAGCCTCATCCCAACTCATCCACCATGGACCTGGACTGGCATCTCCTCCATGCCCATGCCCACCAGACTGAAATGTTCCAGCAGTTCTGTCAGGAGCTGGTGACCGTGCACCAGGACATGGCCGACAGCATGCATGTCATCAGCCAGGCTATGGCTGAACTGAACAGCCGTGTTGGTCAGATGTATCAGACGCTGATGGAGATCCGGGATGCAGTTCAGGCATCTCAGCGGGGGCCAAAAAGGGCAGCCCCCATGGACTCCACTCCACAGGCTCAGGCACCCTTGCTGGACCCTACACCAGATCCCCCAGAACCAGCCCCCACACGGACTACCAGGTCTCGGAAGAGAAAGCACAATTTATAACCTGGCCAGTCTGCACAAGGAGGCTCTATGGCCGTGGTGTCTGGCTTTGAGATGGGGAACCTTTTGGGTCCAGAACCAAGACTGATGACCCTGTGCATGGTCATCTTCTCACCTGGTGCAGTCCAGCTTCCTGTGCCGTAACAGCAACAGCGGGTGTACAGGTCCGCCCTTTACCTCAGGAAGATGCTCAAGATACAAGAGAAGCTGCCTGCTTGATGCTTGCTTGGCCTAGAGGGTTGCTCTCCTCATTGCCTGTATCCTGTATCCTGTGGAGCAGGCTTTGCTGGGGCAGGGGGCATCACCTGAAAGAATCTTGCTTCCAACTCAGGGCTGCAGCAGAGCTGACCTCCCAGGTCCTGATTCTGCTCTTTCCCAGGTGGTTGGGCCTGTGGGTGGGCGGGGCTAGCTCAGCCGGGTGGGTGGAGCCTGGCCTTGGCCCTGTGCTTGCCCTGCCTTGCTCAGCTGCTGCACTTGCCTTTTATGGAGGGAAGAAGCAGGACCGTGGGGTGTGCTGATGTGGGGAAGGAGACAGTCTTGCATTCTTAGCACACTGTGAGCTTTTTCCCAAGCCTGTACCTGGCAGACCATCTCAGGGAGCCGTCTGAACAGTGAAGTGAGGAGGCAGCCGAGACAGTCTTTAGGATCACTGATTGCTGGTCATTCCGATCATGCATTGTCATGCATCTCAGGGGTCAACAATGACACAATCATGTAGTGGGGGACAATGCTGTGGACCCGGCCAGTTTCCTTCTAGAGGTCAATCCTAGAGTGCTCCTAGATGCTTCTCACCTAAGCTCTGCCCCTGCCTCAGCTTCTGCACTTGGGAGAGGGGGCAGAACCAACATGGAGATAGATGAGTCTACCAGCCTGCCATGGCCCCAAGCCTCATAGCCAGTGGTGGGGAGATCAGGGGCCAGGCCTCAGGAGCCAGCAGGCAGACTGTCTACTCACTGGCTCCTAATGAGGCTGTGTCCAGTCCACCTCCCAGCATGCCTTGCCTCTGCTTGCTTGGGCTGTGTAGTTACTTAGCTGTATACACTTCTAGCTTTGTATTTTGTTTGGGGGCATGGTCAGAGAGTTAGGGAGGGAGACCAAGCTGAAAGCTTAGGTCTGATTGAAGTGTGGCATTGCCTTCGCTTCTTGGCCCGAGGCTGATCCCATCAGACCTTTAGCACCGCCTTCCCCTAAGAGCCTAAGTGGGCTGAAAGCCTTCTGGACTTGGTGCCTGCTGAGGCTGTTGCTAGAGCTGTTTAGGAACACACCCCATGCTTCGTCCTTCATGAGGCGAATGGATGGCTGGTACCTGCCGTGTCCCTGGGCCCTGGGCTCCATCACCCCAATTTGTGGTTCTTTGGGGGTTCCTGCCTCCTCAGACTGAACATTACCTTGTCCAGTAATAGCCCAGTGCCTGGAATTGCCCTGCCTACCCATGCTGGAACCCAAGATAGCCCTCTCAAATATTTTTGTTAAGATGGCAATAAAACGAAATGGATGTCACGCTTTGAACACAGCCAGGCTCCAGGATCTTTTTGTTTTGGTGTGTATTCTCTTTCCTCACATCCCAAGGAAACCTACAACCCCCGCCCCCCGCCAGAACAGGAATTAGCCCCTTGCACTCCCTGGATTTCATAAGCCCCGCCATGGGCATGCCTAGACCCTTGCTTGGCCCTTACAAAGGAAAGACAGGGACTTGTAGGCCAAAGGCAGTGAAGCATCCCTGGACGCTAGGTCAGCTGTTCTTCATTTTCCTGCACATCAAAAGTGACATAGTACTCAGTGAATTCAACCTGATACTCGAGGGAGAGAAATGATTTCTGGGTGGAGACTAGAGAGGCTCCTGGCTGTCCAGGGGGCGGGCATCCTGAAGAGACGTGCCTCTTGATAGCTGCAGCCCCACTGATCTTGATAGCTACTTATGAAGGGCAGGGCCCTGCTTGTTGAGACCCAAGTCGTCTTGGAGGACAAGAATGGCTTCCTCTGCCATTCACCAGAGTGTGCCCACACAGGGCAGTCTTCTCATTTGCCATCGGCCTGGCTTATCTCCACTACAGAGAGAACTTCCTTGAAGCAGGGACCCTCAAATTTTACCCTGTAATATCCTTTCTAGATAGTTCCTAGCTACATGTGGCTTTATATCCAGACCATTCTTTAAGTTCCTGGCCAAAATGCATAACTTGGGAATGAAGATAGCAGTTTGTAGGAGATACAAGGAAGCTGCAGCTGGCCTGGGTTTCCTCTGACTGCCAAAATCCGTGTGACTTATTGGCCTCTACTTCTGGTCTTAGGGAAGAAGAGGCCAAATTAGAGACTGTAAACCAGAAACAAGGTCAGAGTCCAAGGGACAGTGGTCCATTTGAGATGGAAATTTCTGCTTTGGTTTCTTGGATGCAGTGGGGACTAGGAGGCCAGCATGTTCAATAGGAAGAGGAAATACATGGGAAGCCTATGCCAGCTTCCCACCTTGAAGGAAGCCCGTAGCATATAAGGACAGTGTTTTCCAGAGGCTGGGTGACCACCTGGTGGGTACCAGCGACCTAGTCCAGCGACATCACAGAGCTGGAGCTCTTCTCAGCCACTCTTCCCATTTCTGTCTCCCCGAGAACTTCCTTTCTGCTGGAAAGTTGTACTCTCCTAGCCTGGCCTGTGTCGGTACTATTAAACAAAGTGGATGCCCCTATGGATCAGAACCCACAGTCATTTCCTGACCCAGCTAGAAAATATGGTACACTTGATAAGACCCAGTGGGTGAGGCCTGAGCATTGTCCCCTGGGCTTATCTGTCCGGTACCCAAGGCCGTGAGGAGACAGGACTGAAAACAGTGTGTTATCTTCTGGAAAGAGTCAGTCCAGAGCCCCTGCACTCACCACCACTGCCTGCCACCTTTCAGTTGCTTCTAGGGTGCCCAGGTCTGAGCAGACAGCAGTGAACTCCTGTAGAGCAGCCTGGGCCAGGCGTTTCGCACTCTGCCCTGTTCTCCCAAGGGAGTGAGCTGGGAACTCAGACCCTCTTGCAGCCAGCTGAACTTGGCCACCAGGAGGAGATGGTTCCTGAGGACCTTGGGGTCCTCAGTCATGTGATCAGGACGTAAGAATGAGGACAACAGGGCTGTAAGAATGGGCCAAGCCCTGAGTGCTGCCGAATGAAGGGATCAAATTAGGGGCGGCGGGTGCTGAGTCTTAGCTGGTTACAGTTAACTTTCTCTTGAAAGTTCTGTCGCATAAACATGTCTTGTCAGAGGACTGGGTGGCTGAGATTCACCCACAGTTGCCATATGTATCTCACTTCAAAAGCCAAGTTTAAAACAACCCAGTGCAAGATGCTCAACACATTTTGATCTGTTGTTGAAATACTTTGTGATCTGTATGAAGCCTGAGGGTGCTCTTTCTAAATGCCGGCTCTTGTTGGGTCGACCAGTCCTGCAGGGGGGTGCAAATGGAGATGGGTGCAAACAGGTTGAAATGTTTAGACCCATTCCAGACATTGCTGCTTTGATTCAACAAGCCTTGATAGTGACTTGTTCCTCATTTGCCTTCTCATCTAGCATTTAGTATTTGATGGCTGTCCAGAAACTAAAGTGGGAAAGGAAGAGGGTACGCCTAATATGTTATATGAACCCAGAGAGAGAACACAGAAATGGTATTTCTGCCTTCCCAATGTGTCTGGAACAGAATAGCTAGGCACTACCTCTGCTCTGTGTCCTGACGACCATTAAGATGGTGATATTTGGACACCAATCTCAGACTCTTGCTAGATTAGAGCTTGAAATTATTTTGCACATACAAAAAGAAATCTCAGGAGTGGAGTTGAGGCTGATCCTTGAGTGGAGAGATGAAGCTGAGGATTGCTGCTGGCGTCTTGGGGGCCTGTCTTTTGCCTTGACTGGCTGTATCTAGGTGCATAGAGACCCCCGTGACATTTCCACAGCTCAGGGGAGCTCTCTGATGCGCATGTGAAATACTGATGTGAACACAGGTGTACTGAGGTTAAGGTCTGGACAAGACGTCTGACCCAGGGCTGTAAGCACCATTGACCTTGTCCAGATTTGGAGCTTGGTGTTTGCTCTCTGATCACTTTGGCCTTCACTCTTCCAACCTATGATATGTTCTGTCACCAGAATAGATTGTTTCTTGGGCGTCAGGGGATTGTGTTGGTGAGGTGCCAGCCTCCTCCAAGGTTAAGTCAGGCTGACTCTGCAGGGACCTGTCCAGATAGGAGCAGGGTTGATATTAGGACTGCAAGCACGGCCCTAGGGTTGGAGGGGTCTTCTTGGAGCTGCTGACCCCCGTTGTCACCTTGCAAAGGGACTGACATCTGTGTGAGTACTTTGATAAACAGCACAAACTTTGTTGAGCAAACCTGGAAGGTACATTCAATTCCAGAGATGGTCCTCTCAGAATGACGGTCATGGTTAAAACATGGTCTTGTTCATTTCAAGCTCTTCTTGCGGGCTTGAAGCGTTGTTGACACACTGTGTGAGTGGCTTTGGCTCTGACCTCTCTCACTTTTCATCACAGCGGTGCTGCTGTGGAGATGGGTAAGGTGTTGCCAGGATGTGGAAAGTGTCATTTGAGGGAAACTGGGTGAGGGGTATGGATCCTGGATTGGATGGCACTACAGAGGTGTCTTAGGCATTGCTGGGCTGGTGCTTTCCATACCTACATGGAAGCCATGAGTTGCAGTTGGGGAAAGAATAGGCTGCAAAGCTGCATCACCCATTAATTAGCGGGGTCTTTGGGGAAGTTGCTCAGCCTCCATGAGTCCTTCTGTCCTTATCTTAAACTGTGCTGCCAATCTTCTGTCATCTCTCGTTTACCGTTCTCGTTTGTCCTCATTGGACCAGGTGTAAGATGCTGCTCTTTAGCCCTGATTGAGCTATCAGCAGTCACTCTTAGAGGATGGGTATTTCTGATAAGCCTAGAGGAATATGAGAGCAGCCCAAAGCTTCCCCTGCGCCAGCTGCCGTCAGAGGCCTGAGGTTAAAATCCAGTGAAACTGGAGCTGGAGCAAAGGCTCAGGCTTAGAGTATTGGCTGCTCCTATAGGACCTAGCTTTGATCCCAGCACCCACATGGTAGCTCACAAGCCTCTGTAACCCAGTTCCAGGGGAACTAATGCCGTCTTCTGGTGAGAGCAAGATACACAGACATATGTGTAGACAAAACATCCCTACACACAAAATATTAAAATAAAATATATATTTTTAAAAGCACAGTGATGAGAGAAAGGGATGGCCACCTGCTGTTGAGTCTAGTGTTGACTGTGACCCATGAGGTTGCCAGGACAGGTACCATTTCCGGTCTCAGATAAACAGATTCTTGAGGTCCAGAGAAAGATGTGAGGAGGACCAACTCCAGTTAGCTGTCTCTGGGCGGGGCAGCAGCCTTGCTTACATGCCCACAGACCTTAACCAGTTGTGCCCTGTGCTGGAGGCAGTCCACCAGGTGTGACCCATGGTTCTCACCTGTCCCCTCCCCCCCAGGTACGTGGTCATTTCCCGGGAGGAGAGGGAGCAGAACCTCCTGGCGTTCCAGCACAGCGAGCGCATCTACTTCCGGGCATGCCGAGACATTCGGCCTGGAGAGCGGCTGCGGGTCTGGTACAGCGAGGACTACATGAAGCGCCTGCACAGCATGTCCCAGGAAACCATCCACCGCAATCTGACCCGGGGTGAGTACGGGCAAGGGAAGGAGCATTCCCTCAGGGCCAGGGCTACACCTACAAGGCTAAGCCCAAAGGGCTAGGCTGGTCCTTGTGAAGGGGCACACCCACAAAGCTAAGGCCATGCCCACCAGGGAGGGTTGCACCCACTCTGAGCCACCAAAGCCCAGAAAGCTGCTCTGGGAACCTTCCAAGAAACCACTGAGGAATGCAGTATCCAACAGGCAGGCCAGACCTCAGCACAGTGAGTCAGTGGCTACCCCAGGGAACTGTCATCCCTAGGAGGCAGTCCTGAGATCAGGGAAACCCTGTCAAGTAAATCACTGAATGAAAACCAGTCCTGTTCCCCTAACTCTAACCGGTACAAAGACACTTCTTACTCAATACCTCAGCAGTTATTTCCTGTGTGCTAGCTGAGCTTCCAACACATTGCCACGTGACCACAGTAATGGGAACTAACCCACTAAGATGCTCTGAGAATTCGTGGAACAATATAATCACCACCATTAATGTGATCTCTGCCGTGATGGTAATTAAGTGCTTGGTTGTAAGATTCTAGTCCGGTGGTCCCTGTGGCATCAGCCCCATTGTCGTACAGATGACCACACTGAGCATCACAGAAGTGCAGTGGCTTACCCAAGGTCACATGACTCATGAGGTCGGAGCTAGGTTTCCAAGTTGAGACATGTGAAGTCAGGATCTAAGTTGTAGCCAACAGTGGCCACTAGACAAAGCCAGCCTTGGTATGGGATGGCTGGACTTGTTCTTGTCAGTCCAAGCATAAAAAAAGCATAAAAGAATGGTTTCTACCAGAAGAAGACTGAAGGACATGAGAAGATGACCTCAGGCCCCATTGAAATGAACCATTTGACAGGACCTTGCTGCCATCCTCAGCCTGGCCGGGGTAAATGGCACACCCAGGCCCTTCTTTCGAGAGTCTCTTCTTTGCACAAAAGCCGCACATCCTCATGCCCAGAGTCCATTTGGTCCTCAGAGCCAAAGCCAGGCCAAGGCCTGCTCTACCGTATGTTTAACTGACCTCTTGGCTGGAGCCAGCCTTGTTTGGAGGAGGAGATGGAAGCAGGTGACTTCTTGAAATGAAGCTGACTTGGAAGACAAACCAAAACAGGCCTTTGGGTGCCCAAGAGCCATCTGGCTTAGTTCAAAGCATCTGGCAACTACAGGAGAGGTGATAGACCTGTGGAGAAACTCATCTCCTGTCCCCTTTGGATCTGAGTTTGGGCTGTGCTGGTCTCATTAGGAAGGCGTGCTTCTGTGGTGAGAGGTGGCTGCCATTTGGCCTCTTCCCGAAACGCCAAGTGTTTGCTGAACCTTGGTTGCATGGATAAACGCGGAAGTGACTGAAGCAGCCAGGGAGTTCCCAGGAGAATCACAGCACCCAAAGAGAAGAGAACCAAGAGAAGTCTCAGTCTCAGCTGCACAGATTTCCGCACTTGGGTTCTTCTGGGATCTTCTCCAAAGCACCTGCCTTATTCTCAAAGTCCTGAGACCCAGGGACAGCTTAGAGAAAGGAGGGAGGCTGGGGAAATGGAGGCTCACACGAGTCCTGGCACACAGACTTGAGATAGAGCAAGCCTTACAAGAGACAGGAGGGAGGTATCGACCAGGCTGAACTGTAGGGTGCGGGAGGAAGCCAGCAACCACAGCAGGCCGGCTGGAGCTGTGAAGAAAGTAGTCCTTGAGTGTGACTGTGGGCCTTGGTGGATGACTGATGTATGCCACGTGTTAGGTACAGAGTCCAGGTCCTTTAGTGTGCCTTCAGTGGCCTGTCAGCTCTGCTTTGGACAGTCCCCATTGCCCAGTCACTTAGGGTATCATGAGGTGTGCGTGTGTGCCTGCATGTGTGTGCATGTGTGTGTGTGTGTATGCACGAGTGAGTACATCTGCAGACCAGATGTCAACCTCAAGTGTCATTGCTCAGCAATCATTCACTTTGCTTTCTGAGACAACTTTCACTGACCTGAACTTGCCCATAGGCTGTCTGGCTCATGAACCCAGGAAGCCAGCTGTCTCCACCTTCTCAGCGCTGGGATCACAAGTGCCTGCCACCACACCTGGCTTTTTTTCTTTCGTATTTATTTTTTTTTGGTTTTATATCCCATCCGCAGTTTCCCCTGCCTTCTCTCTTCCCAGTCTCTCCTCCCACCTTCTTCTTTCTCCCTAACCCCCATCCATTCCTCCTCTGTTTCTCTTCAGAAAAGGTCAGGCCTCCTGTGGATATCAGCCAGCCACGGTATATCAAGTTGTAGTGAAATTAGGCACTTCCTCTCCTACTAAGGGTGGGTGAGGCGACTCAGTAAGAGAAAAGGGTCCCAAAAGCAGGCAGTGGAGTCAGAGAAAGCCGCTGCTGTCTGTATTAGGAGTCCCACAAGAAGACCAAGCTACACAGCTGTAACATATACGCAGAGGGCCTAGGTCAGTGCCCTGCAGGCACTCCGGTTGTCGGTTCAATTTCTGGGAGCTCCTATGAGCTCAGGTTAGTTGACCCTGTGGATTTTCTTGTGGTGTTCTTGACCCCTCTGGCTCCTACAAACTTTCCGCCCCCTCTTCCACAGGATTCCCTGAGCTCCACCTAAAGTTTGGCTGTGGGTCTCTGCATCTGTTTCCTTCAGTTGCTGGGTGAAGCCTCTCTGATGACCTGGCTATTTTTAAACATTAATTCTGAGCATTGAACTCAGGTGTTCAGACTTGGAAAACAAACCACCGCAGTCCCCCACCCCCTTTTCTGAGGTGAGGTCTCCTGTATTCCAGGCTGGCCTTGAATTCGATTTGCGGCTGAAGCTGGCTTTGAACTCCAGAGCCTCTTGCCTCCACTTCCCAAGCGCTGAGATTACTGGGCACCACTGCACCCGGCTTTTAGAGAGACAGAGGCTGCTTAAGCCGATCATGGTCATCTTAGAAGAGTGTGGTTTGGAGCCCAGAGCTTCCAGAGAGAATGTCAGTTATTCGTTTGCGGTTCTTTGAAGGGTAGGCGTCAACACATTTGGGTGATCTGCACGAAGGAAGGGGGGATTTTATTCTTTGCTCTGGTTTGATCCCTGAATGTCATGGAAGATTTGGAATAGAATTCATGGTGACCTTCATTAAAGGTCATCTGTGGACCAGGGATTCTACATGGAAGCCTTGAGTCTAGAAGGGTTTCCAGTCTGTCCTAGGAAACATGAATGACTTTGTCTCAGAACACAGAGACAGTGGCAGTCTGCTATGCTTGCCACCCTGACCTCCCTGCATCTCCAGCTGCCCGGTGTCTATGAAAACCTGAAAAGGCACCTTTGATTTTCAGAGGTTCAGCTTGATGAACACCTTACCTGCTCTGTGACACAAACACATTGCATCAAAACTTTTAAATTTAATCTTATTTAATCTTATTTATGTATGTATGGGTATTTTGTCTGCATGTCTGTCTGTGTATCACATGTGTGCCTGGTATCCTCTGAGGCCAGAAGAGGATGTCTTCTGGGTACCCTAGAACTAGAGTCTCAGAGTGGGTGCTGGGAATTGAACTCTGCTCCTTTGGAAGAGCTGCCAGTGCTCCCGACCTCTGAGCCATCTCTCCAGCACACACACTGCGTTTTTAAAGTGTTCTCACCTCACCATCACTGAGCTTTCTGTGGTTCTGCTGGTGTGGAACCCCGGGCTCCTGAAAGCTGGCTGAGTGCCAGGAGCCTGGCTGAGTCTGATACTTAGGCAGCTCCTGTGAGGACAGAATAGAGACCTGAGTGACTCAGCCCTGCTGTGCTGTCATCTGTGGGAACCTGCAGCCTTGAGGAAAGGCTAAGGGAAGCCAAACCTGGAATCTCCTGACCTTCACCTAGGGCTGGGGAATAAATCCCTTCACCAGAAGCCTGGACACTGTGCATTCAGAGCAATCTCTGCCCAAGGTTACAGAACCAGGCCCTGACTCTGACCCTGGCTCAGGCAGCCTTTGAGATTGCCCAACCCCACAGACTGCTGCCAGAACTTTCCGAGAGCTGGAAGACTCCTCTGCTTTCTCAGCATTTCCCCCCGGGGAAACCAGCACCCTGTAGCAGTCTGTGCTATTCTGCTGGCTGTGATAAGGAATCTAAAATAGCTTATTTTGGTGAGCTCACCAACATTTCAAGGTAACTTAAAATGATAGAAAAAGAAACATCTTTTGCCAGGTGGGGAAACAGCTATATTTGAGAACGCTTTGAGTCTCGTGACTGCCTTGTCCTTACCTTGAAGAAGCCTGACGTTTTGGCATTTTTAGTAAGCTCTCTTCCTTTTCAAAATTTTAGCCATGGCTGAGAACCACAGGACTTTGAACCATCCTTCTTTGTGTATTTCCTGTCTCCATACTGCAGGGAGCAGAAAGACAGCAACTCTAGGGTGGCTGTTTCTCCCCTTCTCTAGAACGGAGTAAGGTGGAGCCTATGCTCTCCCCATGCCTTTCACTGAGCATGGCAGCCATCCTGTAGTCTAGGTCTAGAGGGCAGTGTTCCGGGTGGGTGGAGATTTACTCAGCTCTGAAGCTTGTTGCTTTAGTCAGATGGGGAGGGATGCTGTCTCTTAGGGTCATATGTGGTATGGCAGTCCCATCCCCGTAGGGCGGTTACATCTTGCTATTCTCCCCTTCAGGCACATCCCAGCTCATAGGTGTTGCATTTATCCATGCAAGGGCTCTTCAAAACTGACTGCCTCCTTGTAAAGGTCGTGTCTGTGGCTCTCATGACTTCCCATGGTGTGCTCTCCTCTCCATCTGGGCCTCACCTGACTCAGACAGTTAGAACCAAGAGGATGTGTAAGGCGACTCCCTAGCAGAGGCCCATTCTGTTTCATGTTAGTTCCTCCATTTGGGGCTTTTCCCCATATCCTCACACCCTGGTTTTCCTTCCTAGGAGAGAAGAGGTTGCAGAGGGAGAAGATTGAGCAAGCCCTGGATAATCCAGAAGACCTAAGGGGTTCCACTCAGTTCCCTGTGTTGAAACAGGGCAGAAGTCCCTACAAGCGCAGCTTTGATGAGGGGGACATACACCCTCAGACCAAGAAGAAGAAAATAGATCTCATCTTCAAGGATGTACTAGAAGCCTCACTGGAATCCGCTAATGTGGAAGCCCGCCAGCTGGCTCTGAGCACCTCTCTGGTCATTCGGAAAGTCCCCAAGTACCAGGATGATGAATATGGTCCGAGTGCAGCTGCCATGACCCAAGGCATACAGAATATCCGCCGGACCCAGGGGGAAGGGGACTGGAAGGTCCCCCAAAGGGTGGAGGATGAAGAGGAGGAGCCTTCGTCATTCAGGGCTGACAGTCCTGCCGAGGCCTCTCTGGCATCTGACCCGCACGAACTGCCCACCACCTCCTTCTGCCCTAATTGCATTCGCCTGAAGAAGAAAGTGCGGGAATTGCAGGCAGAACTCGACACGCTTAAGTCTGGAAAGCCGCCTGAGCCCTCCGTTCTGCCTCCGCAGGTACTGGAGCTCCCTGAGTTCTCAGATCCTGCAGGTAAGTTGGTGTTAGAGGGAAGAGCACATGGCACGCTGTGTGGAGGGGGGCCCAGAGCTCTGTCACAGCCACCTGCCAGGAGAGCCGAGAAGTGCAACGCAGAGGAAGCCACCTCCGGGGCTGGGAACCCTGTCCCTCGGGTGCCAGAGGCAGGCTGGCTTGAAGCTCTGGGGGTATTGCATGTGCCAACCTGTATCTTGCTTGTCAATAAAGGATGTCCCATTGCAGGAGGGCTGTGTGTTGTGTTCTTGACCTGTTGTTTTACTCTGGGCCTCCCCCACTGTTCCCCCCCTGCCCCAGTCCGACTTCTCTCTCCCCCCCATCCTGAACAGGGTGTCTGTTGGGATCTCTCACAGCTCCCCAAACTCAGGGCAGGAGCACAGCCTAGTCCTCTTCTTCCAGACTCTGACCTGCCTACATGGTGCTTGGTTCCCAGCCCCAAGTTCTAGAAGGATACGGAACCAGAGGACCTGAAGCCAACAGCTGTGCCACTTTGTCCTCTTTTGCTGGCTTCCTGGGTCTCTTTTTGAACCAAGGGGACCTGGGGATTGGTTCCGTGCAGACCTGCAGCTAAGCCGGGTTGTTTCCCTCAGCTCTCCTTCTCAGCTACCCTCAGAATGGAATAGGGTAGACGTAAAAATACATTTGCCTCAGTATCCAGACTGCCTTCAGTTAAAAACCACACGCTTGCCCTGACCGTATCAGTATTGGGCATTCCAGTGCCTGGTCCTCCAGTGTAACCTGAGTATGTGACATCAAACATTCTAGAACATTCCACCCCAGAAGCACCCACAAGTCAAGACTGAGCTCAGGTACAGGGAGCCTGGAGCCTGGGTAGCGTCCAGAGGCCACCATGGGCGATCCATGGGGAGGAAACCTCCGTGTGGAGAGCAAGCAGGGTTCTAGCCCCATGCGGCCTGCTTTCCAGCGTACACCTTGTTAAATCTGTGTTGTCAACAGCACATGTGAATGTTTCCATCCCCTCTTATTTTCCAGCCTCAGAGAGCATGGTCTCTGGCCCTGCCATCATGGAGGATGACGACCAGGAAGTGGATTCTGCAGATGAGTCCGTCTCCAACGACGTGATGACAGCCACCGATGAACCCTCCAAGATGTCCTCCGCCGCTGGCCGCCGCATCCGGCGCTTCAAGCAGGAATGGCTGAAGAAATTCTGGTTCCTCCGCTACTCCCCGACCCTCAACGAGATGTGGTGCCACGTGTGCCGCCAGTACACGGTGCAGTCCTCACGCACCTCCGCCTTCATCATCGGCTCCAAGCAGTTTAAGATCCACACCATCAAGCTGCACAGCCAGAGCAACCTGCATAAGAAGTGTCTGCAGCTGTACAAACTGCGCATGCACCCGGAGAAGACCGAGGAGATGTGCCGCAACATGACGCTGCTCTTCAACACCGCCTACCACCTGGCCCTGGAGGGCAGGCCCTACCTGGACTTCCGGCCGCTGGCGGAGCTGCTGCGCAAGTGTGAGCTCAAGGTGGTCGACCAGTACATGAACGAGGGTGACTGTCAGATCCTCATCCATCACATCGCCCGGGCGCTGAGGGAGGACCTGGTAGAGCGCCTCCGTCAGTCGCCCTGCCTCAGTATCATCCTGGACGGGCAGAGTGACGACCTTCTGGCTGACACGGTGGCCGTCTACGTGCAGTATACCAGCAGTGATGGGCCCCCGGCCACAGAATTCCTCTCCCTGCAGGAGCTAGGCTTCTCCAGCACAGAAAGCTATCTCCAGGCACTGGACCGGGCCTTTGCTGCCCTTGGCATCCGCTTACAGGACGAGAAGCCGACTGTCGGCCTGGGAGTGGATGGGGCCAACATCACCGCCAGCTTGCGCGCCAGCATGTTCATGACCATCCGCAAGACGCTGCCCTGGCTTCTGTGCTTGCCCTTTATGGTGCACCGGCCCCACCTGGAGATCCTAGATGCCATCAGTGGGAAGGAGTTGCCCTGTCTGGAGGAGTTGGAGAACAACCTGAAGCAGCTGCTCAGCTTCTACCGCTACTCACCGCGACTCATGTGTGAGCTGCGCTCCACAGCCTCCACCCTGTGCGAGGAGACCGAGTTCCTGGGGGACATCCGAGCCGTGAGGTGGATCATCGGTGAGCAGAACGTCCTGAACGCCCTCATCAAGGACTACCTGGAAGTGGTGGCCCACCTCAAGGACGTCAGCAGCCAGACGCAGCGGGCAGACGCCTCCGCCATCGCCCTGGCCCTGCTGCAGTTCCTCATGGACTACCAGTCGGTCAAGCTCATCTACTTCCTGCTGGACGTGATCGCCGTGCTCTCACGCCTGGCCTACATCTTCCAGGGAGAGTACCTCCTGGTGTCGCAAGTGGACGACAAGATCGAAGAGGCCATCCAGGAGATCAGCCGGCTGGCAGACTCCCCGGGGGAGTACCTGCAGGAATTTGAGGAGAATTTCCGAGAGAGCTTCAATGGGATCGCCGTGAAGAACCTCAGGGTGGCCGAGGCTAAGTTCCAGGCTATCAGGGAGAAGATCTGCCAGAAGACACAGGTCATTCTGGCACAAAGGTTCGATTCCCGGAGCCGGGTCTTTGTGAAGGCCTGCCAAGTGTTCGACCTAGCCGCCTGGCCCAGGAACAGCGAGGAGCTCCTGAGCTTCGGCAAGGAGGACATGGTTCAGATCTTTGACCACCTGGAAGCCATTCCCACCTTCTCCCGGGATGTGTGCCGCGAAGGGGTGGACCCCCGGGGAAGCCTACTGATGGAGTGGAGAGACCTCAAGGCTGATTACTACACCAAAAACGGCTTCAAAGACCTCATCAGTCACATCTGCAAGTACAAGCAAAGGTTTCCGCTCTTGAACAAGGTCATTCAGGTACTTAAAGTCCTCCCCACCTCCACGGCCTGCTGTGAGAAAGGCCGGAGTGCCCTGCAGCGGGTCCGCAAAAACCACCGCTCCCGCCTGACCCTGGAGCAGCTCAGTGACCTGTTGACAATTGCTGTGAATGGACCACCCATCGCCAACTTCGATGCCAAGCGAGCCCTGGACAGCTGGTTTGAGGAGAAGTCTGGCAATAGCTACACACTGTCAGCGGAGGTCCTCAGTAGGATGTCTGCCCTGGAGCAGAAGCCCATGCTGCAGGCTGTGGACCATGGCTCTGAGTTCTACCCAGACATGTAGGGGCCTGCACAGCAGAGGTCACAAAGCCGGTGAATATTTTTTTAATCTATACTCATAAGCTTTGATATATTATATAAATATATATTATATTATATTATATATATATATAAATCCACACTGAAAATTTTTTAAAAACTAAGGTGATGTGTCCACCGGAAGCTACTGACAGCTTTCAGAAAGGAGCAGCGTCGGCAACTGACTCTTGTCTCCACACTTGGCAGCTGCAGCCCACGCGGCACCTCTTCACTCACAGCGTGTTCCGGGCCACGCGTGTTCCCACTAAACAGTCAAAGCAGCATAAGCTAAATGGCGATTCCCTTCGTCATTCTTAGGTGGCTTGTTCTGTTTCTGCTCTCATGGATTGGTCACGGGGCTGGGGGTTGGGGTGACACTCTCACCTTCTCCTCTGTGGTATGGTTTTATGACTGGGGGGCGGGCAAGGTGTGGTCTCCTCGTTGGCATTCTGTTCCGGTCACATGGTGTCAGGGTTTCCATGGGGTGGATTGGATTTCTGGTTGTCTTTCTCCCATCACCTGACTTCAGCTTGGGAGAGCTTTCTTTGTTCATTTTTTTGAGTGAGTCCTTCACTTGTCCCCTCGACTGTGAGCCCACCACACTCCCCACGCCACCCTCCCATCCCGAGGCTGTCAGCTCCCTCCTCAGACCTCTGGAGTTAGATATTAGGTGTCATACTGAAGGCAACTTTCTTTCACATTTGAGCTTGAAATCTAGGGACCATGGGGAGGGTGAGCTTTGTTCCCCAGCAGAGGATAAAACATTATTCTTCCATTCAGAGCTAGGGCTGTTGGGGAGACAGTGAGCCAAGAAATCTAAACCCCAACAGGACCGCAATTTGGGCTAAAAACAAGTAAAATGCAAAGTGTGTAGATTCAACTTCCACAAATTGCTTGTATGTTCTTTCTAACTATGAAATGTGTGGGATTCGGATTTCTCTTAGTGATCAAGGAGCAGCTGTCTTATAGTTCAGGGTCAGAATCCGCCAATGCAAGTCATGTCCTGGGCTATGCAGAACTCAGGGGAGAGTCCGCAGAGAGGTTGTTCCTTTTGCAGCAGGCTGATGCTGTGCTCTGCAGCCTGGCAGGATGGTCACAGGATGCCGGGCAGAGTTCCTCTGCCTGTGAGCTCCTCCTATTTTGAATAGGGTTGAAATGTCCTAAAGAAAAGGAGAAAACAGGAAGTGAGGTGGGATTCTCAAGATTGGAAACATGTATGCACATCTACACACACGCACACACCACGTGTGTGCACACGCACACACAGACACACACTCTACAGCCACAGTATAAGCTTTAGAAATGGCCGCTTGCCTCCCCCCACCCCGGGGGCAGACAGTGGTTTAAACCAGAGGAGTCTGACCAATGTTCATTTATCTACCAGTATACCTCACAAAGAGTTTTCAGCAGTGTTCATGAGCTGTTAAAAACCTCCCTCTTGTTTCTGCGTCTGATCTGTGCAGTTTTTGCCGTCCCAGAATGTGGATACGGGTTGTGTGTGGGGAAGGGCGGAGGATCTGTAGTACCTGCCATGGTCAGTTCTGCAGAGAGCTGTCCCTCTCCTTCAGTGGGGTATTAGAGATCCAACCACAGGCAAGGCCCTCATGCCCTCAGCCTGCCTAGCTGGGCCCACAGCTGTGTGGTGGCTTCCTTCCTTCTGGGTTCGGCTCGTCTCTGAGGCCTCATGGAAATGTCATTAACACTGAACATATTGCTACCCTTTCCTGGTTCTTCAGTCTGTCCGTCCTCCCTCAGATCCTCCCTTTGCCTCCATGGTCTTGGTGCTAAGATAACTTTAGAATCATTGCTGCTAGCCAATAGCTTTTCATGATATAAATATATATATATATTATATATTATTTTTGAAATGTTTTTGTTTTCAAGAGTGATGTAGCATGTTAAAACAAGAAACAAAACTAAACCATCAAAAAGCTGGCTCTTTCCACCTGTCCCACTGGCAGGTCTCTTCTGCTGCCTTCTTCAACAAGTTGATATACCCTGCCTGGTGACTCTCAGCCCTCCCTTCACCCTGGTCCCCATCTAACTCCCTGCCCTCTGAGCAGGGAGAGTTAGCAGGAACTGGGGAAGGAAACCCAAAGTCCCTTTCAGAGGTTTGGAATCCAGGTCTTGTTCAGTTGCCGGCTCTGAGCTGGTGTCTCCCTCCAGCTGCCCCTCCCACCCCAGGCCAAAGCCTAGCTGGAGCCACATGGGCTGCTGTTCTGAAGCACAAGGTCTCCCACTTGCCCAGCTCCTGCCCTGAAACTTCATCTCCTTACAGACACAGACGTTGGTCTGGGGAGTTTTCATTGAGAACTGAATGGACCAAGGTGTGTTCAGAGTAGGGATGGCTGGCAAGGCAGGTCCCTCACGGGCAGCCTGTAGGCATAAACGATGGCCTGGGCCTTTTCTTCTTGCCAGCAGTTGCCTTACACCTCTCCTCCCCAGTGCGGAGGGCTTCCTCGCCCAGGAAGGGTCCTCTCTGGGATGGCCCTAGGCCAGACATCGAACCAGGACTGTTCCTTCCCAAGAGGTTGTGGCTACGCAAGCTCAAGTCCTTAGCTAGAGACACAGGTTCTGACATTCCAAGCCAATGTTACCTGAGTTTCCTTAAGACACCGGGAGCAGGGGACCTGCCTTGAGGCCTAGAGTGAACTATTCTGGCAGCGTGTGGGTGACAGCAGTCACCCATTCCCTGGTCCTCTGTCTCCCCGACCCCACCCCTGGTCTCTGCTGCAACGGCCTCTGCCTCAGAGCCACTGAGAAGCTGAGCTCTCAGGCTGTCTTGCCTTTGGCTAGGTGCCTCTGCAGCTCTGGGTGCTGGTGAGGCTGGCTCAGCCTGGCAGGGCTGTGACCGATGTTCTCTAGGCCACTCTGCCTCAGGATGTGGGTGACTGAGGAATGGTGTGGATGAGCCCCACACAGTCTTTTTAGCTTGAATGCTCCCTGGGAGGGTCAGGGCTTCTGCCCAGTGAATTCCTATTTGGGATGCCCTGTGATTTCGGGTCTAGGCATTTCTCATGTTCCCCTTAGAGAAGAGCCTGGGTGGCCCACACTTCCAGTCTGGCTGGAGAGCCATGGCTCGTCTCATATCTTGGTTGGTTTAACAGACTGGAGAGGCCTTGCAGCATAAATGCAGTTGTTTTTGATGGGACAGGGCCCTGTAACTCAGTCCCTGGTGTAGAAGCATCGAATGACTGTGTCTGTGGGGCTGACAAGTATTCACTCTGGGCTGACTAATAGTGACTTTCATTGGCTCTTGGCAAGAGTAGGACCTGAGACGGTGTTGAAGACTAAGGCTTGTGGCTGTTGTGCCAGCCGGGTACCTTGCAGAACCCTATGGTTGAAATGTTCTCCTGAGTGAAGGGCAACAAACAATGACCACTTAGCCTGTCTGAGACGGGAGGACTACTCAGCCCCGTGGGCAGCTCCTGCCCAGTTAGAATCCCTGCAGGCGTCAGAACTGCAGCGCTTTTGTAATGGCTCCTTGTGGGTCTCAAGATGCCAGCTACATCCACCCTGCCCCATCCTCGCTGGGGAATGAGAGCCCACTGGGCTCCAGGACCCTCGGTAGCCAAGTTCTGTTCAGGCTGTGTGTTCCCAGCTCGAGTTGTTTTGATGAGGTTTCTCGTTGGCTTGTTCATACTAGACCTTTGATTTTGTGCAAGGACCTTGGAGTGACTTAAACACATCTTAAGTGTTTTTCATTTGTCTGGAGGAAGAGCAATGGAGGAAGATATCAAGGTGGACATGGCCATAGTGAGGTAGAAATAGACTTGAGATGTTACCCAGCCTGATGTTGAGAGCTGCTTTCCATTGCTGCCTGCCGGGAGCTCGATGGGGACCAGGAGAGGCCACCTGGACTGAAGTCTAGAACACTCCTTTGTTTTTCCACTTCTGTCTCTATGGAAGCAGGAGTTTGGCATCCTAACCTGATTTCAGTGTGTGATCTGTGTTAAATTACAAGTCAGATTTGTGCTGATTTGTGCTTTTTTTTAAATTTTTTTTTTTTGTGGTCCTCGCACCCAATATGGGCATAGACCCCAGGTTCACTGGAGCTCATGTGTGCCCGGGGTGCCCCTTAAGAGGCAGCCCAGTCAGACTGGGCTAGCTAGCAACTGAAGCAGGGAGAGTGGTCCTCTGGGATGAGGAAGGAGGGCACAGCAGGCAGTGAAGGTGGGATGGCTCCTTTACACCCTGCCTTGGAGTCTAGTCTGGCCATTCCTCCAATCCTTGAGGGAGAAAGCGCATCAGATGTGCATGGTCCCTCCCCTCAGAGGAATGCTCTTCTCTAGTCCTCTGTCAGGGCAGTTGTAGGAGTCTTTGAGGTAATCTTTGCATGTTAGTCAGAGGGAGAAAAGGTGCCCTTTGGAGAGGAAAATAGTATGGCCCTCCTCTTCCATCTAGCACGCTCTCCCCTTCCCCCATCCCTTCAAATGGTATCACCCTAGAAATACCTATGCAATTCAGTCTCCCTGGGAGGCTGTGCATGGAGGCAGGGGTATGTGCAGTGTATCATACTGATGCTAAGGCATATCAATTGTATATACAGACATATACAGTACGTATACACGCAGAGTAAGAGTAAATCACGTCTATATATCTATAAATATATCCTATATATTTATACATTTCTATGTTTAAAATAGATATAAAAGTAGTCTATAGAGCTGGAAAGGTGGCGAGGAAGCCGAGTGCTGGTTGGGTAAGGAGGAGGAGACAGCTCTGGAAGGGAGGTGGGAGTGCTCAGCAGGCTGGATGCTGGCCACTGTGGGGGCATCTTCCTTGGGGTACTGGGGAGGACGGTGGCTGGGTCCCAGCTCTCTCCATGCACTTTCTCTCCTTTCACCAGCTCAGGCTGAGGTTGGAAGGAGATACCCCTGAGGGCAGGCTGCAGTGGCCCCTACCTCCCCCTACCACTGGCCTTCACTTAGCTGGTGACTGCTGCTTAGCAGTAGGGGCTCGAACTTGGTCCCTGACCTCTAGGGGAGGGGCCTCTGCACAAACTTCCCAGTGCCCTCCGCTATCAGGAATGAGCGGCGCTGCTGGCAATAGAAAAGGAGTACATCTGTTCACAGATGTCCAGAAAGATGTCAGCCCCTCTTCCGCCCCCTGGAGGTCAAGGCTCTGAAGTACAGCCGTCCTGGCCTCCTTCACCCATTCACCCACTGTCTCCAGAGCTCCAGGAGTTGAGGAAGGCAGCGTGCGCTTCAGGTAGCGCTGCCTCTCCCAATTCAGAAGCCCCGCCTGGTGGGAGAGATATATCTGCACACTGACATTTTCGATGACAACTCAAGTTCAGGATCTGGGCCTCGGCCCAGCCCACTCTGCGCAGCCACAGCTGCTGGCTGTACTCAGGACAATGCTGTCCCCTCTTCCCAAACCAACCAAGCAGTCCACCCCACCTCTGCTGTGGCAGCAGGTTCAGGCTTAGTTCACAGACACTGTTCTCATTCTCTCACTGGATGCCCAAGCCCACTCTCTCTGGGGAGGGTATTTTCTTCAGCTTGTCCCCAGGCAACCTCTCCAAGCTGGTTGGGGATGCCTGGGACTCCAGGGAGTTCAGCAAGCTGGCAGGATGGCAGAGGGTTTGTGCCGGCCAGATGGGAGTCAGAAGCCTATTGCTCCCAGCATCCTCTGTTTCCTCTCTCTCCGGGAGCAGAAAGGATCTGATGACAGGTACCCTCCCTGCTCTCCAGACCAGCCTGCCTTTGGGCTCCACACACACACTCACTTCCCATACCGAGCCTTTGCAGGTCTCCCCTGCTCTTCTTCACCACACTACCAACGGACCTCAGTCTCCAGCAGACCAGTCCTGTACCACAGTTGAGACCAGGTCTGCTCTGCCAATGCCCACTTCCTTGAACCACAGCTAGCTGCCAACCGGCTGAACACCCTGTAGGGCCTGGCTCAGTGGAGTTCAGGACCAATGGCCCTAGCCTTCCACACACTACAGTGGGTCAGAGCCTGGCCAGGGGATAGGCATTCCCAGTAGCAATCCCACAATGCACTGTACCTCAGAGAGAGAGAACGTGCCACAGGGCATCGAGGGGACCAGCCTCCATGCAGAGGGGGCAACCGCTCACAATACTGTTCATAAGAAGACAAAGGCCAGGCTGTCCCAGGGCATCCCTCAGTGTACCCTTTGGCCTCTGGAAGAGCCAGCAGTCTTTTTCAGCCCTGGTCTCTCTCCTCCTCTCCATCCCTAAGCTGCTGAACCGTTTTCATGTCAATCACAAAGAAAAAAAAAAGTGGGGGTGGGGGGAATTCCTAGGAGCCTATTACCACACACATATTAATATGTTAATACTTTCTTTTTTAAAGACAACTCTCAATGTTATTATTTGGCAGACTGTGCTTTATAGTACCTGTGTGTCGGGGGCTAGAACACTGGATACAAATAGAGCTATGCTGGTTTATAATCTGTATGCAGAGTCTTTCCTTTTGTCACATTATCCTCATAATGTAAGAAGATTATTAATAAAAGCATTTAAATTGATGCACCAAGCTTGGCTCCTTGCCTCTGTGACAGGCCCCAGGGAGTCGTGTGGACCCCATCAAAGGCTGAGGTGTGGGACTGGAAGAACTCGAGTCCTCTTTAGCTGCTGCTCTTCATGTTCCCATTGCAGGCCGAAGAAGGGGTGACCGAAACCATGTGAAACACCTACCCGGATACTGGCCTTACAAGAATCTCAGGGGGGGCATCCAGAGCCTCTGCAGATCAGCTGGTTCCAGCTCTCTTGCTTAACTGCCTTTGGTGGCTCTCCACTTCCTGGTCTGGTCCCCACTTAGAAAGGTCTTTTCTGAGTATTTTGCCAATGACAGTGAGGGAGTGGGATTTTTTCCCACATTTTTTGAGGAAAGAATTAGACAAACTATAGTCAATAATGGCATTGCTCCACATACAGGTTTTTCCTCTTGAGATGCTGAGGCCCCCACTCTTGGTCCCTCTCCGCATCCGACTTCCTCACAGAGGTCTTACCTCTTCCTGTATCCTTACTTCTGCCTTCTCAGCATTAGGCATTTTCTTTTCAGTCGAGAAGCACCATCACCTCTACGTTGGTCACCTAGCAACTGCTGTGTGACACTGTTTCTGGGGAGGTGTGAACAAAGCCCTCTCAATCCAGTGACATACTAAAGTAAGGAGTCTACCCAAGTCCAACTTGGTGAGCCAGTGAGTTTTCTGGGTTACTTATGGGAGTGTGGATGAGGGCTTATTTACAGAGCATGGATGACTCCCAGGCAGCTACATCACCAAAGCCAGTTCCAGCGTGGCTGATGACTCATGAAAACTGGAACCCAGAGATACCTTGGCAGTTTGCAGAAACTTAACAGGTAGGAGATTCTTCCACTACTGTTTATATAACATTGGAGAAGAGGGGCCTTGGAAGTCTGTTAAGTTTCAGGGACTTCCTGAGACTTATGTGTTATTTCCAGTCTTAGGAAGCCTCCCTTTAGGACTTCTCAAGTTCTAATGACAATGAATGGACACGTATTCAGGATACAGTGTTTCAATGCAGAGGAAACTGCTACACAGTACTCTACCCTTTCCTCTTGTTCTTTTATTCTTTCTGCTCCCTGTCCATGGTATTCTCTGGGCCTTGGAGGGGTGATATATATGCCTCACCCTTGGGCTACTCTGCCACAGCAATAGCCTCTTGTTCTTGGGTGGTTCTTTGGCTCTCCCAGTCCGCTATTGCTTATAAAGGAAACATCCTTTTAGGTCCAGTTGCAGTTGACAGCAGTGCCCTATGACTTATCATAAGCACACAAATGTTTAGAGAAAAGTTTAATAAAGCCAGAAAGTTGCTGTTGAACCTGAAACCGACTGTGCTGCTGCTGCTGCTGCTGCTGCTGCTGCTGCACACGCAGTTGCATCTCTCTGGGCACTACGATAGCATAGCTTCAGGGGCCACGGCCAAGGGAGACTGTTGTAACAGCTGTCCCCTAGCAGGCTGCACACACTATACCTTCCAACATGAACAAAACAAGCCAGCAGCAAGTCAGCAGTTCAGTCCCAGCCTTATTTCTTCACAAGAGATGGCTCAGCAGTTAAGACCACTGCCTGCTCTTCCAAAGGCCCTGAGTTCAATTCCCAGCCACCACATGGTGGCTCACAACCATCTGTAATGAGATCTGGTGCCCTTCTGAGGAAGAGACTTGGTCAGTCGTCCTCATTAACTTAGACCATGAAACCCAACATGGGCAAGTTCAACAGAACCACCATGTACGGGCTGCCCATGCATGCTTCAGCATTGCTAGGACATACATTTCTTTTTTTTTTCATTTTTATAATCAGAATATGCATTGTCTTCACCCATAGGGCCATATTATCCAGTTCTGGCGTAAACCAACAGCAGTGGCAATGACATTATTTTAGAGGACCTTTGGGGCCTCCCTGTCTAAAAACTCCCCACTCTAAGCTTTTTATCTGACAGCCCTTTGACTCCTGCAAGTGCTCATTCCCATTATATGACATGTCCATGTCTTTGTTTAAATTCAACAATTACCTTTACTTCATGTTTTTACAAATCAAAAAATGCTTAAGTGTTAGCATCATGCAACAAAAGAGAGTGGGCAGGATCTCTGAAAGCCCACTGTCATCCTTCCTAGATAAGAAGTCCTAGTTAGGGCCCAAGGCAGTGACCTCCACAGGGGTGGGCCTCACCAGTGACCTCTGCCAGAGCGACTTCCACAGGAGCAGGCCGGAGCCAGTCACCTTAGCTGGAGCAGGCCTGAGGCAGCAGCCTCCACAGGAGCAGGTACAAGGGAGCAACTGCCGAAGGAGCAGACCCAAGCCAGCGACCTCTGCCAGAGCAACTTCCACAGGAGCAGGCTGGAGCCAGTCACCTTAGCTGGAGCAGGCCTGAGGCAGCAGCCTCCACAGGAGCAGGCATTTGTGGTTCTAACTAGAACAATAAGACAACAAAAGGAGATCAATGGGATACAAATCAGAAAAGAAGAAGTCAAACTCTCACTATTTGCTGATGATATGATAGTTTACATAAGGGACCCCAAAAATTCTACCAAGGGACTTCTACAACTCATAAATACCTTCAGTAATGTAGCAGGATACAAGATTAACTAAAAATATCAGTAGGTCTCTTTACACAGATGACAAATGGGCTGAGAAAGAAATCAGAGAAACATCACCCTTTTCAGTAGTCACAGATAACATAAAATATCTTGGAGTAACTCTAACCAAACAAGTGGAAGACCTGTATGACAAGAACTTTAAATCTTTGAAGAAAGAAGTTAAAGAAGACACCACAAAATGGAAAGATCTCCCATGCTCTTGTGTGGGTAGAATTAACATAGTAAAAATGACAATCTTACCAAAAGCAATCTACAGATTCAATGCAGTGCCCATCAAAATCCCAGTAAAATTCTTCATAGACCTGGATAGAACAATACTCAACTTCATATGGAAAAACAAAAAAACCCAGAATAGCCAAAACAATCCTGTACAATAAAGGAACTTCTGGAGGCATCACAATCCCTGACTTTAAACTCTACCACAGAGCTACAGTACTGAAAACAGCCTGGCATTTTCATAAAAACAGAAAGGAGGACCAATAGAAGCGAATCAAAGACCCGATTATCAATTCACACACCTCCAAACACCTGATTTTTGACAAAGAAGCAAAAAATATAAAGTGGAAAAAAGAAAGCATATTCAACAAATGGTGTTGACATAACTGGATATCTACATGTAGAAGAATGAAAATAGATCCATGCACAAAACTCAAGTCTGAATGGATCAAAGACCTCAATATAAAACCAACCACACTGAACCTCATAGAACAGAAAGTGAAAAGTACACTTGAATGCATTGGCACATGAGACCACTCCCTAAATATAACCCCAGTGACACAAACACTGAGAGAAACAATTAATAAATGGGACCTCCTGAAATTGAGAAGCTTCAGTAAAACAAAGGACACCATCAACAAGACAAAACGACAGCCTACAGAATGGGAAAAGATCTTCACCAACCCTGCATCAGACAGAGGTCTGATCTCCAAATTATACAAAGAACTCAAGAAATTGGTCATCAAAAGAACAAATAACCCAATAAAAAATGGAGTACAGACATAAGCAGAGAACTCTCAACAGAGGAATCTAAAATGGCTGAAAGACACTTGATGAAATGTTCAACATCCTTAGTCATCAGAGAAATGCAAATCAAAACAACTCTGAGATTCCATCTTATACCTGTAAGAATGGCCCAGATCAGAAACACTAATGACAACTTATGCTGGAGAGGTTGTGGGGAAAAGGGAACATTTCTGCATTGCTGGTGGGAGTGCAAATTGGTACAGCTGCTTTGGATTTCAGTGTGGTGATTTCTCAGAAAATTAGGAAACAACCTTCCCCAAGACCCAGCAATACCACTTTTGGGTATATACCCAAAGGCGGCTCAATTGTGCCACAAGGACATGTGCTCAACAGCATTGTTTGTCATAGCCAGAACCTGGAAACAATCTAAATGCTGCTTGACCAAAGAATGGATAAGGAAAATGTGGTACATTTACACAATGGAGTACTACACAGCAGAAAAAAATTAAGATACCTTGAAATTTGCAGGCAAATGAGTGGATCTAGAAAACATCATATTGAGTGAGGTAACCCAGACTCAGAAGGACAAATATCATATGCACTCACTCATAAGTGGCTTTTAGACATAGGAAAAAAAATCAGCCTACAATTCACAACCCCAGAAACCCTAGACAACAATGAGGCCCCTAAGAGAGACACACATGGATCTATCTACATGGGAAGTAGAAAAGGGCAAGATCTCTTGAGTAAATTGGGAGCATGGGGACCATGGGAGAGGGTAGGAGGAGAGGGGAGAGGAAGGAGAAAAACATAGAGCTCAATAAAAACAATTTTTTAAAAAAAGATGTTCTAGTTGGTCTTGGACAGCTAAGGAGATGATAAAAATAGAAGTTAGTAAGGCCCAATTAAGTATAAAAAGATCTCGTGATTTTTTTATCAGTTCTTTAGTCAAAAGAGCAATGTTGAGTACAGTGACAGGGACAGGAGATGCAGTCCCATTTAGGCGTCCATGATCCACAGACATTTCCCTTGATCCATCTGCCTCCTCATTCTGGCATGATGCTGTTGTCATGCAGACACTGCATCTCCCACCTCCTAATGGTCTCAGTGGAGCTGGCTTGTGTTCATCGGCTCAGTTCAAACCCAAGGGCTTCCTTCTAGCCTGCCAAGCCCATTGTTGGAGCCGGACCCTGGTTCTGACAGACTGCAGACCAGCACTGTGGTGCCTGCCTTCCCATCACCTATGTCTGACTGATAAAGGGCCCAGTATGGGTGAAAATTTTTAACTCGGGAGTACTTTACAGCACATACTCGGGGGGATAAGGTAGACCCCATTCATTGAGGAGACGTGCTGCTCCATGCCAAGCAGAGGAAGATGGCCACCCCAGGATTTGCTTCCCACAATAGACAGCTCGGCCTTGTGTATTCTGTTAACCATCTACTGGACC